ATAATTATCTTCAGTTCACTCTTTCTAAACCAATGAGAATCGACCCCACTTTTCTCCTCTACATACAAACGTGACATTCTCACTATCGGACAGGTCGACAACACGTACGTCAATGAAAATTTTGGCTCCTTTTAATTTTCAGGCTTTTATAGTAACATTTACCTCTTAGCACTCCAAAAAAATTCCCGATAAGAAAACCCCAAGCACTTCTTGTTGTTTTCCATCTAAATTATCTGGACACTTATTACACACATCTATATTCTTTTTAAAAAAGCTTACGTGAAAGACTGTATACACTTTACTTATTCTTTATCGTACCATTCTGTCGGATTCCTATCCCTATTTGATCTACATTTGAACCCAAACTCACAATTTTACTCAGTAGTATTGTCTCTTGTGTCTCCAACACCACAATACAGCGAGATAATAAATAAAACTTGTTTTGTTGTTTCCACGTCTTGCTGTTTTTCATTTTTAAGAGTTTTTTTGTTTGTTTTTTTGTTTAGAGGGTTTATAATTATTTGCTCAGAGTTATAAATTCCCTAAAAACTGATAGATTAGAAGCAAATTATTATTAAGCTAATCATTAGCTCAATAATCACTACTTCAAGATAAGATGCACTTTGCTGACTATAACAGAACATAGTTTATTTACTAAGATTATTACTATAAGCGTCATAATAAAACATCGTTTAATAATATGATAAATTATTGATCTAAAATATTCAATATAAAAATAGAATATTTGAAAACTAGTTGGATGTTGGAAAAAATGCCAGCGTTAACGTTTTGCTACATTACATGAGCGTTTTCAAAACACAACCGTTGGCTCTAAAAAATATAAATTATAAATATACATAATTTTTTGCATCATGGGATTTTAGTAGATTCCCCTGTGTGTATGCGGTATTTTGGTAAATGTAGGATTGGGTGAAGAGGAATGTGTTCTTGTGGTGAATGAGTAAATTGTAACAAATGAATGGGTCGCGAATCAGATTAGCCAGATTTGGGTTAGTCGATAATGACCAGCCTCACCCCACTTCCCCTTCGGTTTTGTGTCAAATTGTACGCAAAAAAAATACAATAAATATACACAACCGTAACCCTAAAGGGGAAGTCGTTACCATGGAAACCCTGCTAAACAAATTTCAAATTGAAATATTTTAACAGTTAATAAAAAATTACATTTTCCTGGTGTAAGTAATGACTGCTCCAGTTGTCAACCGTTAAAATCGAATAACAATATCAGAAGGAGGAGAGATCAACAATATCCCATAAAGAGAACGTTCATAATCTCAAATTTCTAAAACAAACCTACCATACAATAAAAGGAAGAAGCTGGTAGTTTTAAATACAGTGAGATTGTATTTCTGATTAGAAACCTGAAGATAAACCAGGATAAAAACCGAGCATACAGTATTGTCGGGTGGGATTATTCTAGTATAGTTTGCAGCCTAGAGTTCAGTGCTGGATTATACTTTAGGCTAGTAAAAGCTGCAGCCTAGGGCCCTGGATCGGATTATCATTTAGGCTAGTATAGGCAGCAGCCTAGGGCCCAGGGCCGAATTATTGTTTAGGCTAGTGTAGGCTGCAGAATGGGGGTCAGGACCGAATTATTGTTTAGGCTTGTATAGGCTGCAGCCTAGGGCTCAAAGCCGGATTATCCTTGAGGCTAGTATAGGATGCAGCCTAGAGCTCAGGGCCGGATTATCCTATAGGCATGTATACGCTGCAGCCTAGGGCCCCTCAAACTTTTAGAAAGCGATGATATTAATTTTCTAGATGTTATAACTTCTAAATAGTTTCATAAATTGAAATGATATCAAGATGACAAACTCATATTTATTTGACTTTGCAGGAAGCATAGCAAGGAAAAGAATGTTTGAGTTTGTGTCATTGTATTTCAAGTAGATAACATGTTTGATTTTAGTTCAGAATATTTTTTTTTATAAAGCAGTAATTTTAATTTTCTTTGTTATAACTTCTAAATAATTTCATAAATTGAAATGAAATGATATATGTCAAACTTTTTGATTGTTTTATTGTTATAATGCTGGTTATAACAAATCTGCTTATTTACTACATTTGCGTTGAAATATGTGATAATTTGGTTTGCAATAAATAATAAAATAATGGTATTTCTTAAAGAATATTTTTATTAACAAACAAAAGATAGCTATTCCAGTTTATTTAAAGAATTTGCAATGTCAATCGACATCTCCAATTACCTTGATCTACCCACTATCCTTCTCCTCTTCCTTTCTCCTATCACTCTTATCTGCTCTCGCTCCAAATCTTCCGCAACCCCCTGCATCCTAGTGGCTTAACGCCTTGCTTGGGGCACAATGCTTAAAAAAAAAAAAAAAAAAATCCCTATAAGCTATCACTAAAATATATCACGAGTAAAAATTCAAGACGAGTGCGGGTGAGTTAGAAGGTGGCTCCGTCCGAAGTAGGGTGGCATAAACGCAGAAGGGTGGTGAGATGTTTAGAAAATAGGAATTTTATTAGGAGAGATTCTGAGGATATCATCAGACGTAAACAGTTGGCAATCGCTCTTCTGACCAATTGGAAGAAGATATGAATCAGACGAGATAGAGTTAGTGAAAAGCGTCGATTGAAATTGTACAACGTGATAGTAAAACCTGTATTGATATACAATTGTGCGACATGGTGTCTTGCAAGAAAATACAAAGAAAAGTTAGATTCATTCCATCGAAAACAGTTAAAATACCTAACTGGCAAAAGATACACTAACATCGTCTCCAATTCTAACTAGGGCAAAATACGTAAAACATGTTGCGGGACACTAGTATGTTTGGGTAGGAATGTTAGTCCCTATTATATTGCGGTAATCAACACTTTGGATAGTAAATATTTACGAGCTCCTGGAAAATGTATCCCACAAACAATATTGGAGGACTCAATGTGAGTCCAGGTAAAAATGATTAACAGAAAAACATTAAATATAAAACAAACGATAATGCATGTATTAACAAAAGAAATTACATGTAGCGACAATTGTAACAAAAGGAAAAACATTAAAACAAGTTATTATAAGAATGTGCCTATTTGTATGCGTGTGTGATAGAATACAAACGACAAGAAAGAGAAAGCCACGAAAATGAACGCTTCCCATTGGAAGGACACTTTACCCAAGTGCGAATACATTTGAAATGAAGAGTTGAAAAGGGCTTAAAGAGAGGATAAGGGAGAATATCATTGCTTATTTATAGGCTTAAACAGCGCCTCCTAGCGAGAGCTTTTGGCAGAATCAAGTGGCTAACCCACTCATTGGATAGTAAATATTTACGGGCTCCTGGAAAATGTATCGCGCAAACAATAATAGCGGACTCAATGTAAGCCCAGGTAAAAATCATAAACACAAAAATATAAAACAAACGGCAATGCATGTATTAACAAAAGGAATTATAGATGTAAACAATTGTAATGAACGAAAAAAAAAACGTCAAAACAAGTTATAATAAGAATTTGTGTGTGTGTGTGTGTGTGTGTGTGTGTGTGTGTGTGTGTGTGTGTGTGTGTGTGTGTGTGTGTGTGTAACAAGCGTGTATGTTAGACACATGTGTATATATGCCTGTGTGAGAGAATACAAAAATCAAGAGATTGAAAACCATGAGAATGGACGTGCCACAGTGGGGAACCTTTTACCCACGTGCAAACAAGAGGTTAAAAGAACAAAAAAAGAGGGTCAGGAGAATATCATTGTCTATTTATAAGGTTAAAGAGCGCCCCTTAGCGGGCATTCTGGCAAAACCAAGTGGGATAACCCACAAACATATCCGATGTCACTTTTCATTTTTCATCTGATTTCAATGGAAATTATTTGGAGTTGTGTTGCGATTAGAAACGCAATTTCTTTCTCATGAAGCAATTCTGTTTTATTTCGAAAAGAGCGTAGAAGATCACGAACAACCAGAGAATACATATTGAATATCGACATTAAAAGAAGTGTCAATAAAATTTCAGCATTCTTCCGTAAAAGCCTTGAAGAGCCCGGAAGATCTGCAGCACTTTCTTGAGTTAGAACAAGTCAGGTTTAGAGAGGACTGATAAGAGTTATTTTCAAAGATACTGAAGATGTGAGATTAAACTGATTTGATTTATACCTTCAAATCGAAACTTGTATATCTTATGGCGTTTGTGTTTGTGTGTGTATCAAATTTTCAATGTTCTGTGTTTGTCTCGTTTTCATTTTCTTCATGTCACCAATATTCGTAAAATCAGAAATGTAATTATACAGGAAGTGTTAGAAAAGACAACGGAAGATGTGACACAGAAATCTAAGACAGCTAAAAATGCCTTCATAAAACTAAATATAATAAAAAGGATGAAAAAAAATATTGATTAGATGTGCAATCTTCTTCTCATAAATGCCGTTTTATTTCGAGAAGATCAATGCAGCACACTTTCGTAAACGACCACGAACAACCATAGTATACACACTAAACAACGAAATTAAAAGAACTCTTCTTCTTCTATATGCCGTGTCCCTTCTGGACATGGGTGAACATGATTCTCCCCCCACCCAACCATTTGCACAGGCTCGCTCGGTAGGTTATGCGCTGCTCTCCTCTGTAACTCAAATTTTCAATATGTCCTGTGAGTGTCAAATTTTCCAAGCCTTCTTTTCTGAATATGTGACTTAGAAATTTCAACTGTCTCTTTCTAATGCTACGTATATGCATCCATTTTGCTTCCATTTTCTCCCAAATTTCGTTGTTGCTCACGTGTTCAGTCCATGGTGCTCTCAGCATTCTTCTGTAGAATCCCTTTTCTGCTGCCTCAAGTCTATTCTACATCTGTAATGAGATGGTCCAGTTTTCACAGCCATAAAATTCCATAATTCCATCTAAAAGCTTTGAAGAGCTTGAAGGGGCCGCAGCATCTTCGTGAGTAATGACAAGACAGGAAGGTGTAGAAGGTATAAGGTTGCGTGTTTGTGTGTACTTTAGGTGGCTGCGTGTTCATATAAACAGTTAGAGAAGAAACATTCAAAAATTTCGGTTTTATACTACGGACCGTTTATTCTTTCTATCTATCTATCTATCTATCTATCTATCTATCTATCTCTTTTGTATATAATCTGTAGTTAAACAAAGTTCTTAATGTCTCTTGGGTGTGCCCGCTTTCTTTTTGGTCCAGAAGTTAAGGTAAGTAAGTATAAGCATTGTATTAATGGTCAAGCTCAAGTCAGCCTTGCGCTCAGTTGGAACAGCTAAGGAAAGAATTTGACTTACTCCATAAATGGAGGTATTGGGAAGACACGTGCGAGCGCCATACGTTGAAAAGTGAAAAGATTCAGTTGTCAATGGACCGGGGAAACTACTATATCCAGTGGGAACGCAATGACCACGTGATGCTATATCTTGACCAAAAAGAGGAAAAAAAAGTAAAGCAGGAAAATGTTTTTTTGTTGTTTTTTTTTTATAGAGTTCAACCTAACAACTAACTTTTATGAAACCAAGTTGGGTAATCATATTTCTGTTTTCTTTACTACTAACATCATGGGAAAATGTATTTCTCTTGTTTGTTTGTTTTTAATTTTTTTTTTATTATTCATTATTTTATTTATCGATTTTATTTCATTTTCTCTAGAGAGGTTTGGAGAGACCTGATAAAAATTATTGACAAAATTACTGAAGACGAGAAATCACACTGCTTCAAGTAGAAACATCACAAATGTTGATGATGGTAATAGAAAATTAATAAAAAGTATATCTATGAAAAAATCAACTGCAAATAGAAAATATGTTAAAATAAAGTGTAAATTGATTAAACGTAGGAAAATGAAAAGGAATGAACGAAATATTTGGTAAGAAAAATAAACTAAAGAAAATGATGAATATTTATAAATGGTTAAAAATACAATTTATTATTAGACAAAAATAACTCCCATATTTTAAACTGTCGCCTGTGTTGTGCTTATGAACTTAGGAACGTGAAAATGGTGTCTTCGTGTCTTCAGTTAACATTATGTTTTTTTTTTATTATTACTAGTGAATCTGTAATTGCAACAGAGAGAGCTTTTCGTGTACATTTCATGTTACGTCAGAATGATGCTGTTCCGGTTAGAAAATCGATATCTGCTATGGTTTGAAAAAGTCAGGGTCACATTATTATTTCGTAAACTCTCATTTATATACGTAAACATTCAAATTTAGATTTACAGTTAAAACACTTCAATGTTCCACAAGGAACATAGCTTCAATTTACACCGGTTATCCATAGTTTTGAGATACTCCTTTGTAGGAGTGGCAGACCACTACTGTTGACTTTGTCAATTGCATAAGTAAATCTACATACTCGAGACTTTACTGACATTGTCTTATCTCATTAGGGTATAAATCAAGAATCAAATTTAAAGTAGGTATTCTGTAATGTGCACACCACATTCTCCAAGAGCAGATCTGAGGGCTATTCTACATTTCCTGCAATCAATGCGGGCGGTTCTGTAACAATTCAGGAAAATCTCTTCGCAAAGACCCGCCATGATAGCATTTACCTGAAAATATATAAATAAATTATAAATAAATGATGCTGTATTTATATGCAAGAGTAAAAATGTAGTTGATTTTTTTTTAAATTTAAGGACGCTCATAAATATTCATCAGGTTGGTTGTAAAGTCAGACAAGCTACGGTGGACACGAAGTGACAAAATTTAATGTCTAATAAATGAAAGTGAGTAAGTGATGTTCCTGAATTTTTTTTCTTTTTTACCTTGCCTGGCTTTTCGACTAGCCTGATGAATATTTATGAGCGTTTTTAAAATTTTTAAAAACCTTAACATTTTTGCTCTTATATATAAATACTTGTTACAAAAAAATCCTTGTATTTGCTTTGATAAGATCCCCCAGAGGACGCAACGCATCGGCTAAGATAAGTTTTCCTTTTGTGTTTTCTCATATTGTCCTATCAGATATATTGTATTTGAAAATTTTTTACATAAATGATACTCTTATTCGAATACACTATGTCAGATTTTATATTGAAAGTGAATATTTTCACAATAAAATTGGTTATTACCCAACCGATCTGTCTATATTTCTGAGATGACATATTGTAATTATTTACACTATTTACATCATTCGGACTGTCGTCCTCATCTTTATTGCCATATTCAGGATGTTTCAGCTGTTGTACGCTCCGGCCTTCATGAAAAAAGCATTGATTGAAGTAATCCAAAAAGTGATTTGACCCACAGAATTGCGAGTTCAATACCTGGCCATAACAAAGGGAACACAATTTAGAGAGTTCAGTTACTAACGGGAAATAATTGAAATCGAGATATCCCCCCCCCAAAAAAAACAGTCATGTCACGTAGAATTAGAATAATCTACCCTCGTGGATTAAATAAAAGGTTCGGCTCGTAATTTAATTGTATATCACCTGACAAAGGCCTGAGCGTAACAATGGTCGAATCGTCGTAAATATGACAATAAAGATGAGGACAACAGTCCGAATGATGTAAATAGTGTAAATACCCAACTGATGTTAGTAATTTTATCAAAGCAGAATTATATTTAAATAATAAATAAAACAATGTGAATTTGTGCTTATAATATCCGTTTTATTAAAAAAAATATTTACAATAAATGGAACTCTTACGGCCACTCGCTTGATCTTATTCTTGATCACCGTGTCCGGAACCTCTGCGGAAGGAGGCGTGGAGGTTCTACTTGATCCTCATTGTTCACAAAATCAGACAGTATGAAATTGGTTTCCATCAGCGGGGTATCTGTGCTAAGGCACTTGTCTCCTTTACTGTACATCTGGCAACTTTTAGGAAGCTCACTATCTCCGAGTCGCTGTAGTTGACCTGGTACGACGATCACGACACGCCTTTTCATTTCCGGCGCTAGATTGGAAGCTTGTCATCCTAATGCCTTCGTTATGTTTGAAAGAGAAATGAAAATGTAAAAAAAAATGCTTCATGACACATGACATTAAACAGTCTCCCCTTCATGGCCAGCTAAAGATATGTTCTCAAAACCCTGTCTCGCTCTGAATATATAACTAAAAATGTCACGCCCACACACAGATATTTGTACATATACATACACACATCACACACGCACACGAAAAAAGGCACTAAACTTGATAAAAAAACAAAGTTTTATCGTCAAAATGTTTATGTCATTATTAAGAGGAAAGATCAAAGTATTTTTATTAATTTATTAAATTTGTTAATTCTTATTTATTGTCGAAACTCTTCTTTCCAAACTAGATTGATTAATTAATTTTCTACAGGTTATCAACCCTGTGTAGGTTATTTAAAGCCAGAAAATATTTTTAGGTTGTAAGCGTTTCTTTTATATGATAATGGTTTAGTAATACAATTCTTACTAATTAACCCATAGCTGGGGGAATAAAAGATGGACTCGTAAGTGAATATAAAGAACCCAACGGGAAATGGACCACAGCTCACCGATGAAAAATCCTAAGACATTATCCATTACACCACCCGCACATGCAAGTTTGCAACACCTGGTATTCCCAAGAGGTCAACCATCTAGTTACTGACAAGCTTGACGTTGCTTAACTTCGGTAATCGTACAGTAACAGGTGGTACAACGTGATGTGCCTGTAAGCCTTCTCAGAATAAAAAAAAATGTTGCGAAAAAGTGTTATTAATGGACAATGTGAAATTCAACCACGCAAGAGGCGTGCTAAGTGCAATTACAAATAACGGATTGATACATTTTTGCCACCTTACAGTCCAATGTTAAACCCAATAAAAGACGCTTTCACTTCTTTGAAAGCAAAGTTATCTATTGATCTTGAAGCTTCATGCAATACAGAGCAATTATAACACCTTTCACCGCCGCCTACACCAGGAGGTGTAATCTCGTTTTGTGTTTCGGTCCTCAAGACGATGTTTTAACTAAGGACTAACTATGCGCTGGTTAATGCTGAAGCTGGTTCAAGCTAGTTGTTGCTCGCTTGCCGCTTCGATCAACACCGACTCTGCCAATGCTGTGTTCTTGATCCCAGAGCAGTGGAAGATTGAAGGTCGTCGTAATCGCAGCGCTGGTTCAATATTTTTTTTTTAATTAAACCTTCCTGCATCAATCTCTATAGTAATACTTGGGCCTTGTCTAAACTTCTGGAGGGTCTGGATTCAAAGTCTTGGAATCAGGAAATCTTTTGGGTAGCTGACGTGGATTTCAAAGGCACTCAATGCAGGATCTCAGCCTAAAAGTCTCCGAGCTCACCAAAGTCATCTGCTTATATGCATTTTGGCCCAAAACTGGTGTGGGACCGAAGGGTTCTAGGGATTCGGTAATCCCCCAATTTTCATTAATTCCAATAAAGATTTTCTTTGTTCCCTATTTCTGCTTTCTTAATCAACTTTCCAAATGTGGAAACTTATCCACCATCCTTGGGAGTAGTCACAGGGATTGCTCTTTCCTTAACTCCAACCTGCTTCACTCCACATCCCGCATCGCTACTCCGCACAGGCGGCACTAAATTCTCCTCCTTCCTGATTGGTATTCTAACTCTTCCCACATCTCAGGGCTGGGATAACTGTTTTTGTTACAAATCTAATTTTTAAAGTGCGTAAGAGAAAGGCCGTGGTTTATTCTCCTCAATAATTTCGATTCTTTTACTCCTTTCCTAGACCTACCTGTCCAGCGAAAACAAAAACCAGATCACCTTCTCATTTTAACTTTCCGAACGATAGACAAAAATTATTTCCCAATTTGTTTTCGTTGATGAAAATATATTTGTTTACCTAAATTCTCAACAAAGAGACACGTTGTTTTCCATCCTTGGGTCGGTCATCGTCTTAGCGAAAACATAAACCAGATCACCTGCCTGTTATGACGGATCGATTTAATCCTAACCCGTGCTGCGGGTTCATTCTCTGTTTTCATTTCTAAATTCAAAAATTTAATTCCCGTCTGCCTCTCTTTTCGCCAATAACATGTGCTTTTCTAATTTCCCAAGAAAGAGATAAAGCCATTTCCCAATTTGCTTTACCCGCATGCCAGATAGCTAAAAAAGTAAACTCCCAGTGCATCGTTCTAATTCGTAAGGGTGAAACAACCCAGGTGGCCCTTTCTTCACCTTCACTTTACCAGAGAAAA